CATATATATTTATTTCTCTCTATATATATTTATTTATTTTTGGTTCAGACTGATATTGAACTCATTCTATAGTCAGGCTGGCCTGGAACTTGCAGTGATCCTCCCGCCTCAGCTTCCCAAGTGCTGGGATCATGGGTATGTGAAACCATACCCAGCTACATTGCAACATTGACAATGTATAATGTGTATGTCACATGCATTTGTCTTTCCTTCTCTGCAGAGTAGCTTTTGTGTGTGTGCTGAGAGCAGAAGCCAGGACCTTGTATATTCTATGCAACTGGTCTACCATTCCCCAGCCCTGGTGTGACTTCTGTTCTGGTATCAAAGGTGACACAGTGCCGGTCTATGGTGTTTATCCACCCAGAGCAGCATGATTTCCTGAGCCCTCTGTACTGTGCCCTGCTGCCTTCTCCTGAAGGCTCCCTTACATCTGTCTCCCAGCTCTGTGAGGTCCACAGTGCACTCTCAGAACCCGTCCCAGCTGGGAGACCAGTGAAACTTTTAGGACGCTCTACACTTGCTGCTGAGATGAGGTCCATGCATAGGCTCTCTGCCACCATGAAGCTGTTCTCCTCCACCTGATTTTATTGCCCTCTGAGTAAGCAACTACATCTATTTTAGATTTATTGATCACCCACTCTTTACAATCAGGCTTCCTGGTGGACTTAATAATTGATTATCTGAAAATTTCTCTTATAAGTGAAAAGCTGTGTCTTTTCAGATTTGTGTACTGTGAGACTTAAGTGATTTCAACAAGGCAACCACCCTGAGTACAGTGTGAACAGAAAGCTCTTCCTCCTACGTAAATTGTGGAGGCACACACAGTGTGGAAGCCTTTGTTAGCACCTCAAATTATTAATGGCTATACTGACTTTTTAGAATCATCCAATTTTTTCTGGGTGTGGTGGTATAGACCCAGGACTTGGGAGGTTGAAGCAGGAGGACTGTCATGAGTTCAGGACCAGCCTAGGCTACACAGTGAATTGAAGATCAGTCTGAGAGTAGAAGCCAGGACCTTATCTCAAAAAACAAAAAAACAAAAAAACAAACAAACAAAAAAACCGCAAATAAAAATAAATAAAAAATAGATCCAGTCTTTTTTTAAAAGTATGTTTATCAAATAATAGTATGAAGGTATTCTGATAATTGAATGTTAGAAAAATGCTTTTTTATTTAGATTTTTGAGACACAACTAGTATGTAGTTCAGCCTCACCTTGAACTTACTGTGTATCCCGGGGTAGCCTCCAACCCATGGTGATCTTCTTGCCTCAGACTCCTAGGTTTTGGGATTACAGTGTGTGCCGCCATTCCTGGCTGGTTTTTATGCCAGTATACAACATGAGTTCAAATGAGATTGCCAAAGTCTTTCCCAACCTTTCAATGTAAAAAGATCCTTTTTCCCATACAATCCTTCTTTTACTTCTGCTTTTTTTCAATGCTCTTATCTCCACCCAATGTATCTTTTTTTAAAATTTTCTGCCTTTTTCTCTAGGCCCACTGGAACATGAGCTTCCTGAAGATAGATTCCTAATGTCATTGGTTCCCCAGAACAGTCCTTGCACATCAGAGGGACACAATATTCTCTGGACTCTCACTTTCTCAGATCTGCAAGACACTGACTCCATTCCACTACATAATTCCTCCACCAAAAGAGGCCCTTGGGCCTCCTTAGTGTGTTCATCCCCCAGAAAACCTCTTGCCCAAGGGGTTGGGTGACATTGTTGGTTGCTTTTGGGTAATATGCCCAAATGGCTGGATGTGGGTAACAGTTGATTCCTGGAAAGATAATTGCTACTGAAAGAAAGAAAGAAAAAATGCAGGAGGGAAAAGAACATAGAAGAGAACACATACGATGTTTGTCATTTAATTTGCACTACAACAATTTCAGAAGAGAAAGACTAGAAGGTTAAGGCATCTGCTAGCAAGAAGGTGCTGAGTTAACATTCGAATCCAGGTATGTTGGTCTCTAGACAAATTTCACAGGTACAACATCTCTTCACCCATCGCATTCAAATTCTATTCATGTGTCACCTTCAGTCATTCACTGTGGATTTACTGAGATATCACTTGTGCTTCTCTACCCAACCAGGGTTCAGAAACAACCATTTGGTACTCTGTGTGCATGTCTGCCTTTGTCCCATTCTTCCAAACAATGCCTCTCATATTTCTCCTTCCAGGTCTCTCTGTTACCCTGCAATCAGCTCTTCTCCCGTTCCTGCCCAGGCTTCCTTGAAGACATATGTGATCATTTCAACACACAGACATCCCTGTGAACTCTGAAACTTATTGGTATTCTGGCCAAAGTTTGGGGAGGGATGGAAAAAAATTAAGAACAAATTACCACCTATACAAATCCCATGTAAACGTTGTTAGCTGGGTAAACTTTGACAAGAGGCTTGAAAAAGTGTTGCTGAGGTCCAAACCTACTTCTCTCAATTAGCACCTTTCTGTGTAGCTAAAAGGTTTTCAAGAGCATCTGTTAACAAGTTGAGGACAAAATCTGTCATAACTGCACCTTCCTGAAGATCTGTTCTGTTGTGTAACACAGCCAAGCATAAAGTAGATGCATAATTGAAGTGTGTTGAATCAACTGGGTGTAGTTGCCCACACCTGTATCACAGAACTAGGGAGGCTCTTGAGTTCAAGGCCAGCCACACACAGCCACACACAGCCACACAGACACACACAGACACACACAGACACACACACACAGATACATAGACACACACACACACACACACACACACACACACACACAGTAAAAGGTTGAATTTGTATTGTGCATCTTTTGTGTTCCTGAGTATCTTCTTACTCAACTGACAAAAATCTATATCATTTCTGTAAAAACTAAGCTGGGCACCCCTAAGCCACTAGAGTTTTCCTTCTCTACACCACTTTTTACTGATTTCCTTTGGCCTTCTCTCAAAACTCTTGTTTTTATCTTTAAGAATACGACACAAATACCCCTCCTATTAAGAGCTGCTACCACTACATTGGCTGGATATTAACTTACGCCTGTCTCACCTGAGCTCCTGGGCTCCTAAACATCGACTTTTTCACACAAACCAAAGGATTAACAATGAAAATGTTGCTTTATGTAAATAGTTTGGGCAATCTTTTGGCCCAGGAAGATTTGTACTGCATATGTACAGTACATTAATCTTTTTTCACATGTTAAAAGTATTAAATATGTTTACATTCCTTAATAAATTCAAAACAGATCAGTGTACGGTATGAGAAAGAGTTTTGTCCGCCGCACCTCCTCTGTGAACGGGAGGGTTAGGACTCTTTTGAACTCCTTGGGCTACCGTCGTTACGTCATCGCCTGCACGCTTTTTCTGCGCCTGCGCCCTGCTAGATACGGTTGGTTTTTTTTTTTCGGTCTGCCGCTAAGGACGTTGGTGTGGAGGTGAGTGGGGGTCGCGTTTGTTTTCCACATTGGGGTTCTCATAGCTGCGACCGCTTGCACGTTGCCAATTTCAGCGGTCGTGATTCTGCATTTCAGCAGTGGGGAAGCCGCGGACCTCTCCCCGCGTCGATCCCCGCACGCCCTTGCCGCCACCTCGGGAGGGGGCGCCGAGGAGGCCGCGGGAGGCGGGTGCGCGTGGGGTCGGGGGTGTGGGGGCGGCGGCCGGCTCGGGTCGGGCCCGGCGGGTGCCGCCGCGCCTTTCCCTGGTCAGGGTGACCTTGGCCAGGTCATTTGACCTGCGCGGTCCTGCGGTGTCGCTGTTCCTTCCTTCCTCGCGCAGGCGGGAGGCTGGGGTCCGCGTGGCGAAGCGGCACGGCCGCCGGGCGGTGGGCGGTGGAGGCCGCAGCCGGGGGACGCCGCAGCCGCCTCTGGCCCCGACGGGGCCGCCGAGTGGGGAGCGGGCGTCCTCACCAGCTCCCGGGGTAGTCTTGAGAAAGTACATTAGGGTAAATGCCGTGTGCGCGTTGGCGCGTGCAGCTGATGGCAGAGATGTGTGCTCGTGGGTTTTGGTGGTGGGTTGCTGACTGGTTGTGCCACCGTTTCCGCGTTTATTTGGGGTAGTTCAGTGCATGGGGGGAGGTGCAGGCCAAGCCGTTCCAGGCGCAGGCGTTGTGGGAGTGATCAGAGCGTCGAGCACGGGGATTCTTTAGGTCTCTTAGTTCTACGCTGTTTCATTTTTCCTTATTTTACCTGTGCAGGACGGTAACGACCATGAGTTCCGGTGCGTTGGCAAAACCCCAGATGCGGGGGCTTCTGGCCAGGCGCTTGCGGATTCATATTGTTGGAGCATTTGCTGTCTCCCTGGGGGTTGCAGCTCTCTATAAGGCACGTATATTTGCTTATGGCTTTAGTGAAGATCATAAAGTGTGTTTTTAGGTGTTTAGTGTATTGTGTTTTATTTCCTTGACTTTAGTATTTTTTGAGATAAGAGCCTTCCTGTGTAGTTCAGGCCTTGAATTTGCAGCCCTGCCTGAGCCTCAGGAGTGCAGGAATTACAGGCTCCACCTGAACATGGGACTGGGGTGGGGTGGAGGGAGTGAGGGGTGTGGGGATTGAAGTTGTAAACCAGAACAACACAGGTGGGGAGAGCCCTGAATGAAAGCATTTCAGTGGGCCCAAGCTTTGGTGCTGTTTGAAGAGACCAGCACCGAAAGTAATCCTGTTGCTTGGTCCTGGGATCCCTGCTGTCTGGCAGGGGCGTGAAGTAAATGTAGGAGAAAGGATGAGTAGATGAGGAAATACGGGAATTCTTTTCCTTGCCTCTTGGCTGCTTCAACAAAGCAGTCAGGCTCAGGTTGCTGTGGTTCATCCCCACAACACAAGACAGCCAGTCATGCCTTGAAGGCATTTGGACCAAAAAAACAAAAACAAAAACAAAAACAAAAACACTTTTCCTTGCCTCTGACATCATTATTCCTAGGAAATTTCAAGCCTTTATAACTTGTATGGATTTTTTCCCCTTTAACTGATAGCCACCACCAGAATGTCAGTGTCATTTGATTACCCACTCTTGTGTGTAGTGTTTTTGAAACTTTTGGCCTACTTGAGAAATGTGTTTTTCCATTTGGTTTGTTTGTTTACTTTTGAAACAGTCTCCCTATATAGCATAGGCTGGCCTTGAATTGTGCAGCAGTCCTGCTTCATTCAGCCTCCTGAGGGCTGCCACCATGCCTGGCGTATAGTTTTACATTGTGATTCAGTTAATGTACTTACACATATGTGTATAGTTTATAGGCATATCTGTACACAAAGCTAAAATAGTTTGCCACAAAAATCTAGTGTCCTGTTAATGTTTTCCTGTTCAGTTTTTTTAAGTGCTAGCTGCAGACTTCTAAGTTGATTTCATGTCCCCAAACACTCTCACAGATGAACTTGGAAATAATGTATTGCCAGCTATTTATGTGTCATTTACCCCTGTTACACCGGTGCATAAGATTAATCACTAAAGCCGGCCAGATAGCTCAGCAGATTAAAGCACCTGCTTAAGTAGAGGTAGGGACCAGATTCAATCCCCGAGTGCCACGCCAGCCCCAACCCTGGGGCGTGCTGAGATTGTAATTGAGACTGGGTGTGGTGGAGCCCACCTGTAATCCCAGCGCTTGGGAGGCTGAAAACAGGAGAAGCAGTATGAGTTTGATCTGTGTAGTAATACCCTGTAGACCCTGTATTAAATACATTGAAAAAGAAAAAAAAAAAAAAGGTTAATCACTACAGCTAGCTTAAACTATATAGTGTGACTGTGTCTCAAGAAAACTTAAAAAAAAATTAACTACCACATAAACTGGTAGGGCCCAGCTGACTTCAGCAGCACCAAGACTTCTTCCTTTTAGCCTGTTACTAGAAGAAAGTGGGAATTTGAATAGACAGTGAAGCTTATTAATCTGGTAGAAGGCTTATAACTGCATTATTTCACTCAATAATGCGATTATTTTTTGGCGGGGTACAAGGGATGGAATTCAGAACCTACATTTGCCAGGCAGGCACTTAGGCCACTGAACTATCTCACCGGCACCCCAATAATGCAATTCTGTGAATTTTTCTAACACCTTCACTGATGTGGACTGGCACTAGTATTTGTACTTTTTTTTATATGTAGCTTAAGTTTATATTATTACTCACCCATTGAAACTTAATAAGCAATGTTTAGTGCAGAGTAAAACTTGTTATGTTTCAGAATAAAACTTGGAGAAGCTGCAAAAACAAGTAGAATCCTAACAAAATGGTGCCGCTCCTCCCACTCCATTTTGCAGTGTGGGCTATTTAAAGGCTTGCTTTCTCTAAAGTAGCCATTATCTTAGGTCCATTTCTTCATTTGCAAAAAGGGTCAGTGCCTGCTTTTAAATGTATGAATCACCTCAAATTGCTATTGTCAGATAGTAAGTTTTCTGTGTTTTTCAGAAATAATGTTACCAAATCAGGCTCAGACTTATTTGAAACTTGGGTGAAATTGAAGCAGGATATTTTTGAATCTCTTGGCTGCAGTAATATTTAGGTTTTGCTTGGAGGGAAGGTTGTCAGATACCTCATGGTTTTTGGGTATCACCATCTGGCCCTTGCCACACTAAGTATATACGAGCCATACACATACAGTCCACCCCTTTGAAAGCTGTAGTCTGAACCTAGGTAGGGAGAGCTGCTCTTGCTGGGTGGTTTCTGTGAAACTACTTTCTCTTCTGTGCACCTGTGTCACCTACTCCACTTTTTGTTGTAGGATTCAAATTAAAGGATGAACAAATACAAGTATATTGTAATTTATAGATATTAAATTTCTAACCTGAAAAATAATAATAGTCTCTATTATCTTTTAGTTTGGTGTGGCTGAACCAAGAAAGAAGGCATATGCTGATTTCTACAGAAATTATGATTCCATGAAAGATTTTGAAGAAATGAGGAAGGCTGGTATCTTTCAGAGTGCAAAGTGATATAGGAATAAAAAGGTAATACAGTTACTTGAAATGACTTCAAAAAAGTTGCTAGCTATGTTAAAATTAAAATGTATTATTTCAACTATTTTATGTTTTGTATTAGCTACTGTAAATTCATAGCAGTGTGTAACTAGTTTTCAGAACTCATGTTACAGAGTTGGTACTATATTCTTATTAAACAAAACTTCCATCTCCTTTTCCCTTAGACTTTGGTAACCATTATTATTTTTTTTTCTGTGATTGGCTTCTTTTACTTAGTATATTTTTGAGGTTTACCCACGTTGTAGTTTATATCAGAATGTCCCAACATTTTCATACTTCATTTTGTCAGTTTGTAGTAGACACTTACAGAGCGCCCTTTCTGCCCCTCATCTTAGTCTGGGAAATTTCTATTTGTAATCCTATGGAATAGTTATTGGAATCCTAGTGAGTTAACTCCAGCCTACCACTTCCAATACAACCCGTGGTGAGAATAAAGAACACTGAGGCATCTTTGTAGTTAATGGGGAGCCACGGGGTCTTAATTCCAATTAAGATGATGGCTAACTGGAACAAAGGCCTGCCTTTTATTAATTCATGAAGAAAGGGGTGGCTTGAGGATGAGTAACCATGAGAATGGCTGGAAGTGGGTGAGTGCTGGGAGCTGGGCTAGGTTGATGATCTGAAATCACCTCTGCAATATGCAGAAAGAGGGATGCAGGAAGAGCAATCTGCATAACACAATTGAGATAGCATCTACTGTTTGAGGCTGGTGCTTCAGCTCTGATGTATAATCCTTTATGACCTGGGAAGTCACAGTCTCTTATCTAGAGGCTGGATCCCAGCAGAAAGGGCAGCACAGCATAGCTCAGCAAACACTGTGTGCTGCTGTTGTTGGCTCACCTTGGCTCACATATGTTCATTGGGGAGCTAGGGGTGCAGGGAAACACCGCCCTGTCCTCTTTGCTTCACAGAATACACATCAGCACGTGGACTGGACTGATTTGCATTGCTTATAGCCAATGGCAGGGATAAGGAAAAGTCCTAGCCAGTTTTGTACATGCCAGTACGTGGAAACAGGGCCAGGTTTAACTAAAATGGAGATAATTGTTCTTTCAAAAAGAATCGTCCGGGTGGTCCTCCACCGACACTTGGATTGCTTTCACTTTTAACAGTTATGAACAGCTGCTATGAACGTAGGTGTACAAATACATGTCTCTTTTCAAGGACCTGGTTTCAATTCTTTTAGGTGTGTATTCAGAAACCATATTGCTGAAGCACATGATAGTTGTATTTTTGAAGAAATTTACATACTGTTTTATCATGACTACCCCATTTTATACTCAGCAGGATACAAGGAAGGGTTCCAGGTTCTTCATCTGTTCACAAACTATTTTTCCCCCTTGAATAGTAACCATTCTGATGGGTGAGATCTCTTAGTGCTTTAGGTTGTATTTTCCTAATGATTTGTAATTGAACATCTTTTTGTGTGATCATTGGACATTTGTATATCCTGTAGATTGCTTCTTGGCCTTTTGGTTAAGATCAAGTATATATCCTGTTGAATATATTGGAGTTATTTTGTGGTGTGTGTTAACACTTTTGAATTAGGGTGGTTTCTGTTGTTGAGTTGTAGGAGTTCTTTATACATTGTAGATATTGCCTCATCAGATATGATTGATTTGCAGATATTTTCTTTAGTTTTATAGGTTGCCTTTCACAGTGTTTCTTGGCAGAAGTTTTAAATTTTGATGTCCATTGTATTTATTTTGTTTTATATGCTTTGATGTCAATCTTAAAATCCATGTTAAATCCAATGTTGTGAAGCTTTCTCAGGCTTTTTCCTAAGAGTTTTTATCACTCTGTGGGCTATCTCCCCAGTGACATTTTGTCTTTGATCATTTTTTTTTTTTAAACTTGCTGTGCTGGGATCATGCATGTTTAGTGTGTGCTCTACTACGAACTGTATTCCCAGTCATCTTTAATTCATTTCAGATAATTTTTGTATATGTTGTAAATATACAATATGATTCTTTGCATATGGGTGCCCTGTTTTCCTAAAACCTTATGATCATTAGCTAGCTCCTCACCATTGAGTGGTCTTGGCACCCTTTTTGAAAAATCATGGTGCTGGTATCTCTAGCTTAGTGGTGCTTTGCAAGTGTTAAGATCCTGAGTTCAATTCCCAGTACCAAAAAAAAAAAAAAAAAAGAAACACCAAAGAACAAAAAAATTTGATTGCATTTTAAGAGTTTGCTTTGGGCTTTTTGTTGAATTGGTCTTTATGTCTACCTTCATGACAGTACCCCTCTGAGTTTTATAGGTTTGTAGTAAGTTTTGCGATTAAGATGTCCAAGTCTTCCAACTGTTAAGCCTTTTAATCCATGGGCCTGGGTGTCTTTCATTTGTATCTTTCATTCCTTTCAGCTATACTTTGGAATTTTCAGTGTGTCCTTCATGTTCTTGGTTAACACATTGTCACTTTTGTGTTTTGTATGTCTTACAGCTTGGCATTTCTCCTCTTAATACCATCCCTTGTGTTTATCTGTTTTGAAGGATTATGACCTGGCTCCCTTTTTACTTCATGTGTATATTTTGCTGATCTATTTTACCTGCTTAACTGTTTACCCCCAGCATCACTGGGCAGCACGTTTTTTTGCGTACTGTCTCAAGTGTCTCTCAGGCAGGTGGCATTCAACTAATTTGATTTTTTTTTTTTTTTTTTTGTGGAACTGGGGATTGAACTCAGGCCCCTGCACTGCCAGGGAAGCGCTTATTCCACTGAGCCATCTCCCCAGCCCCTATATGTGCTGTGCTGGGATCATGCATGTTTAGTGTGTGCTCT